GGATGCTTTTCTTTTCATCTCTCCATTAATTAATTTCTTCTTTATTAAAAAAATGAATCATTATCTGACATCATTTTCATGTAGATTTCTCTTACTTTTTCCTATTATAAGCTTCAAGATTCTATGATAGTCAAAATCATACAAATGCGCATCTGGATCTAGGTTTTAGGATGTTCTTTAGGAAACCATTGGTAGTAGCAGTAGTCTTTAGGAAACATTAACAGATTTTGAGCATGTTTGGTTCAGGAAAGCGTTGCTAGTTTTTACTTAATAATTTTAAATTGATTTTTTAAAAATAAAAATACTGTGGTAAGATTTATTCATAAGCACCAAGGGGTTGCAAACCATAAACAAAAGTATTTACATATCGATCAATATGTCAATAAGGTCCCCAAAATTCTCCTGTGAATACAGAGGACGACCCATAAAAAAAAAAATCAGGGTCTAGAATGATCTATCTTCAACCCTATCAAAGACATCTTCCACCCTCTCAAATGCTCTCTTGTTTCTCTCTTTGTACATTGCCCAAAAAGTAGTAAGGGAAATGAGGCTAAAATGTTTTTTCACTCTGCTAATACCCTTCCATGACAAAATTTCTTCTCACCCCGATTTGTATACAAACGGACACTATAGAATGATGTGATTATATGACGCTGCCTCCTTTTTGCATAAAAAACACCAATTCACCAGATGAGCCTCCTATGCCAAAAAAAAAAAAAACTCTATGTGGAGCATTAACCTTCCATATTTGCCACCAGAGAAGACTGGTATTTGTGTCATCACTTTTAACTAAATGTTTGTAGAAATACCTGACCGAAAAGGACCCTCTAGCATTGGATCTCCACATTCGTTGATCATTATTCTCATTGACTATAGTTGTAGTAAGGGTGTGGAGGAGAGTTTCATAATCTTTAACTTCCCAGTGATTGGGGATTTTTTATAACTTCCAAATTCCACTCCCCTTTCCCCAAATGCCACTATAAGACTCATAAATCAAAATATTATTGTATCGTGCAATAGCATAGATCTAGGGGCACTGTTCTCTGACTGGTCCCCACTTTAACCAAGGATCATGCCAGAAGCTAATCTTGTACTCACTGCCAACCCTTCAACTGATACAATCCTAGAATTTATTCCTTTACATGCATATTTGTTTTTCGCATTCCCTCCCCGTAGGTTCTTGACGAGATCCTGGCATACCATCCTTTGTCCATGATTCCAAATTTCACCTCTATGACCCTCCACCAGAGCCTATCATTTTCATTTATGAATCTCTGAAGTCATTTCTCCTATAAAGCCATAATTGAAAATGGAAATTATTTTGACAATCTATTTTTTCTGTTATAGAAAGCTTATTTGGTTATGAATTAAAATATTATTCTCTAAAAATAAATGATTTTCCTGACAGTGTTCTCATGTATACTTTTGTTAACTTTTTCCTATTATAAACTTCCATATTTTATGTGAATGATAGCACTAGATTTCCTGCATAATAGAAAATTATTATATTGTTAAGAGTCGATTATTGTATTATTTAGAAGTATTATTATAATTTTAGTGACTTAGGATTTTTATTCTTCTTAGTATTTTTCTCTATTTGTTTTAATATTTTCTGTTTTATTAGGATTGATATTCTTAATATTATTTTATTAGTTTCTTATTCTCATTAGGATAACATTCCTAATTCTATTAGTTTATTATTTTTTAGTTTAATTCTATTTAGGAAAAGTTATTCAGAGATCATTATAAATAGTTCTGTAATTTCACTTATTGGACATTCAAGTATTCAATAAAATTTTTTTATAGTTTCTCAATTCTTTAGTTATGTAATACAATCAACGTCTTGAATGTGATGCTTGAAATTTTTTAGAAGTGTTGTCTAAGCAACCGTAGGAATGACATCTAGGTTTTTATCCCCAAATCCTTAATTAGACGAATCAATCCTATTTTTCCTACATTACTATGATTGTCAAAATCATACAAATGCAGTTCTTGTTCTAGGTTTTGAATGTTCTTCCGGAAGCCTCTAGTAGTACTGCGAACAGATCTGCTTTAAAATGCTAATTAGGATCCTTTTGTTTGTAAGTTCTTCCTTGATTCTAGGTTTTGAATGTTCTTTTGGAAGCCTCTAGTAATACTGTGAACAGATACGCTTTAAAATGCAAATTAGGATCCTGTTGTTTGTAAGTTCTTCCTTAATTGTTGTGGATGTGAATTGCTTCTTGTCACACTTCAACAGAAA